TCGGCAAACTAATGATAATACCGTCTACAAACCATCAATAAAAGCGGATTAAACTACACAGATCATGCATCATGAAAAACAGAAAGGTTATCTCATCAATTCAGAAAAACAGAAAAATATTGCTCAGAAGAATGGATTATCTCATTAATTCAGAAAAAACAGGATGATTATTACGTTAATTTGGAAAAACAGAATTGATTTATTTTTTTCCAGATGAATACAATACGCTTCCATAGAGAACCGCTTACCGCCCGCGTGACCCCAGATGCAGTGCCGCTGACATGAGGCGTGAGCCGCTCAAATCTGTTAACATGGGCGCCGAAATTAAATTCGATATTTTCAGCCACACATCCAGTGTGTCCCGGGCACAAATTTCTTTTAGCAGGGTGGTTTGGGAAATCTTATTAATATTCATGAACGAAGCCCTATATTATTGGCTGGCTCATTAATATTTATGAGAGGATCGCTACCTGATTGGCCAGTGAACATCGACATGTGCCACCTGTTTTTTTCTAAGGCAGGGCTGCCCAAATCTAGTCCTAGGGGGCTGGAATCCTGTGTAGCTTAGTTCTTTCCCTCTTCCACCATAAATGGTTCAACTCAAGAGTAATTAGCACAAGGAGTTGAATCAGGTGTGTTAAATGAGGGGAAACCAAAAAATGTGCAGGGTTCTAACCCTCCAGGACTGGATTTGGGCATCCCTGGTCTAAGGCATTCACTGCCCAATCAGAAATATTCTCTCATGATTATTAAGGAGTGTTCCAGAACCACTCTGTAAAAATGCAAATTCACATTTCGCTCTTGAGGAGAGAGTTCGGTATCACTGCCTATGGGTGCCATCTTAGGACAATACTAACGAATCTCACACAGAAAACACATACACTCACGGCATGTGCAAAAAGAACAAATGCAAAGGATTCTTTTTTTGTGAAATTAAAGATGTACAACTACATCAGAATATATTTTAACCATCTTACACTCCCACACAAAGACAATATGAGCAGCTATAAAGCATTTATAAAAAATATTTTTTAAATTATTAAATTAATTGATAGTGTTTTTGGTGATGATTTTGATGTTTTATTTTTCTCATTTGGATGTTGTCTAAAATGACACAAACAGAAACTCACCTAAACACAAACATGGAAATCCATCTACACATAATGCAAAAAGCAACACTCATCACAACAACTGTGTGAATAAAACCATAACATAGTATCAATGGTATTATTAATAAAAACATGCAAACACACTTACATTTCTGTAAGCCTGGTCTGGTCCTGCACTCTCCACTGTGGTCCACACTATAGGAGAAGCAGAATGACATAGTACTGCTGTATCCATTTATTTATTGGTGCCTATTCTTCACATACATGCATAAGTATCTGAAGCGTGTCAGACACACACTCTGTACTCACTTCAGCTTCTCCAGTTTACAGCTGGGATCCTCCAGTACAGCAGAGAGCAGCTTCACTCCTGAGTCTCCTGGGTGATTGTAGCTCAGATCCAGCTCTCTCAGGTGTGAGTGGTTTGACCTCAGAGTTGAAGCTAGGGAAGAACAGCCTTCTTCTGTGACTCTACAGCCTGACAGCCTGCAGAGAGACAGACAAAAACTCCCCAATAAATAATATCACCTCACCATTAAAAGTATTCAATAAATGTGACTACGCCAATAAATACTTAAAGAATTACAGTTTAGTGTCTAAGACAAGGAAGGCCCCCTCCTCCCTTTCCCTTAGCTAATTGCTCACTATCTCTTCTGTATAGTGTGGAATACCCAGGAATACTGACCTCAGTATCTCCAGTATACAGTGTGGAATACCCAGCAATACTGACCTCATTATCGCCGGTTTACAGTGTGGAATACCCTGTAATACAGAGCTCACTACCCCCAGTTTACAGTGTGGAATACCCAGTAATACTGACCTCAGTATCTCCAGTTTACAGTGTGAAATACCCAGTAATACTCACCTCACTACCTCCAGTTTACAGTGTGGAATACCCAGTAAGACTGACCTCAGTATCTCCAGTTTACAGTGTAAGTCCCCCAGTCCAGCAGAGAGCAGCTTCACTCCTGAATCCTGCAGGTCATTGGCACTCAGGTCCAGCTCTCTCAGGGGTGAGAAATTTGATCTGAGAGCTGAAGCCAGCACCTCACAGCAATTCTCTGTGAGTTCACACCGGCCCACCCTTAAAAAAATTAAACACTTTTAAATCCACTTTTTACACTGCAGCACTGTATTCAAATGAGGAGAATAGGGGCCATGACATAATGGATTTTCAGAAAACAATTACATTACTAAAAATCATTTTAACAATCACCCCAATTCTGTTTGGTGTCCATAATATTTTTGTCCATAACACGTAAAAGTCAGCATGTTTAACTGTAACAGTACCGTTAACTTTGCTAACCAACACAAATGTTTTGCATGGATTATATATGGTTGAATGGATGTTTCCTGCTTCACTGCTTAATTATTTCTAGCATGGATTGAGGGCTGATTAGATTGTGGGATATAAGGAAGTAGGAGAAGAAAACAGAAGCTGTTTGTGTTTGTTTATTATGTAACTGCTGAAATGCATTGTGGGTTTTCTTGCTGTCCATTTCCTTTTGTGTAAAATGCATATTCTGTACTCACTGCAGCTTCTCCAGTTTACAGCTGGGATCCTCCAGTACAGCAGAGAGCAGCTTCACTCCTGAGTCTCCTGGGTGATTGTAGCTCAGATCCAGCTCTCTCAGGTGTGTGGGGTTTAACCTCAGAGCAGAAGCCAGGGAAAAACAGCCTTCTTCTGTGACTCTACAGCCTGACAGCCTGCAGAAAAAGAGACAGAAGCTCCCCAATATATATCACCTTACCATTACAAGTATTAATAAATAATAATAATCACCACTTTTATTAATCCCCATGGGGAAATTGTCTTTTATGCCTCCCTCAACTTTCTGTTTGCAAGCAAGCTGTCCATGAAGGGCAGCCACCCATGGAGCTGGGGGCTAAGGGTCATACTCAAGGACCTGTAGACATGCTGAGGCTGGGTTTGAACCAACAACCTTGTGATTACAAGCACACAGGCTTAGTCCACTGAGCCACACACTGCCCAGTTGTTACTGCTAATAAATATTTCAGGAATCACAGTTTAGTGTCTAAGACAAGGCAGGCTCCCTCCTCCCTTTCCCTTAGCTAATTGCTCACTCTCTCCTCTTTGTGGAATACCCAGTAATACTGACCTCAGTATCTCCTCCCCATAGTGTGGAATACCCAGTAATACTGACGTCAGTATCTCCTCCGTATAGCGTGAAATACCTGGCAATACTGACCTCAGTATCCCCAGTTTACAGTGTGGAATACCCAGTAATACTGACCTCAGTATCTCCTCCCCATAGTGTGGAATACCCAGTAATACTG